AGAACTTCGCGGACAGCAGCAGCGCCGAGGAGCTGGAGCTCAAGTGCTCCTGCCGCCTGAAAGCCATGATCGTGTGCAAGGGCTGCGGGGCCTTCTGCCACGACGACTGCATAGGGCCCTCCAAGCTCTGCGTGGCGTGCCTGGTGGTGCGGTGAGCACGAGTGCGGTGTGCCTGGTGGTGCGGTGAGCATGAGTGCAGTGTGCCTGGTGGTGTGGTGAGCATGAATGTGGTGTGCATGGTGGTGTGGTGAGCATGTGTGTGCATGGTGGCGCGGTGAGCGTGCATGTGTATGTGTGTGTGTGTGGCGTGCCTGGGGATGCGGTGAGCGCGTGTGTAGTGAGCGTTAGTGTGGTGTGCCTGGTGGTGCGGTGAGAGCCTGTGTGTGGCGTGCCTGGGGGTGCAGTAAGCGTGAGTGCGTGGCGTGCCTGGGGGTACAGCAAGTGTGCGTGTGCGTGGCGTGCCTGGGGGTGCAGCAAGTGTGCGTGTGCATGTGCGTGGCATGCCTGGGGGTGCAGCGGGTGTGCGTGTGCATGGCATGCCTGGGGGTGCGGCGGGTGTGCGTGTGCGTGGCGTGCCTGGGGGTGCAGCAGGTGTGCGTGGCGTGCCTGGGGGTGCGGTGAGCGCAGTGCGAGGTGCAGTGTCCCTTTTCCACGGTGCAAATGCCCAGCGGCCGCAGCCAGTCGAGTAGCGCGGAGCTGGGGGTGCGCTCATTTCCTTCCTCTGGGCCAGGTGACCGCTTCTCCGCGGGGCTATTGCTCTGCGTGTCTCGGGAAGGCGAGAGGGCCTCCCATCCGAGTTGCTCAGCAGCGTGTCTGTCACGTATGTAGTTGGCTCCCCAGCTTTGGACACTTTCTGCCCATGTTTGCAGGTCACTACCCACCTTTCGTTTGTTTGTGGTGTTTGTTTCAGTTCAGGTGCAGATAGGAAAGGGACATTGTCCATTAGTACTAACCCGATGCAGGTGGAGAAAGACGTGGTCAGTGATGGGAGGTGGGCGGCGCATTTCCTGTAGATGAGCCATTACGGCGAGGGTTTGAGGGTTTTCAGTTGGCTCTTCTGGCACCACTTTTCCCCGTGGTGAAACCATCGTTGGAAAGGGGACTCTGATTTCAATGTTCGCTTCCTTGTCTTTACTCACATCACAAAAGATACAGTGAAAGAGGTATCTCCTGACTCTTTCCTCCTTGTGCCCTCCTTTCAGAGACGGGCAGGGCATCTGCGTGGGCCTTGGACATGGTGCACACGTTGTCCTATCATGTGTCTCGGGCCGGACATTGCATTGCAGTACCCTGGTCCGCGCCCTTTGACATCTGATGCTGGGGGGTCAGTTGGCCACCAGAGAGCCCTAGGCCCAGAGGATGTCAGAGCTTCATGTGTGGGCTTTAAGAGCAAGTATTGTAACAATGCCTTAAAATTCAAAAGAAAATGCTGTGTGTGCCAACACATACAAAGGGGTGGGTCATGTCACTATTGGCCCATTCTCTTCACTCCTTTACAACGACTAGATATTAAAGTCGGGGGGAAGTTATCGTAGACCCTGCGGGCGGCACCAGTGCCTCCTGCTTCCGGCTCTGCAGAGGTTGGCCACCTCATGTTTAAAGTGTCCTTGACGATCAAAGGGACTCCAGAAGGCTGAAGGGCCGACATTTTTCTGAACAACTTTTTCCTCGTGATTCACAATCTATGCGATTCTGCTTAACCCTGAAACAGCCACCGTTTTTGAAATAGTCGCAGGGATCGCGTGTTTTGTTTTCTTTCCCCTCAGGTGAGTGCAGTGCAATCTTCCTGTTTGGGGAGTGGAGCTGCTTCGGAAAAGGGACACTGCATCTTCCACGCGCCGCCCGTGTGTGCCCCGTGAGTCTGAGTGTTGCTTACCTGAGCTCCCTCCCCCGAGCGTTGCCTGCCCTCGTGCCGGAGAACAGCTTTAGTTCCAGAGGCTCTGTTCCCTAAAGCAAGTTCAAAAGCACATGCATGTTGTGAGAAGATGGAAGACAACAAAAGCCACGCCATTTCACTTCCGATTACAGAGCACAAAACGTGGAGTGCCATTAACCCGTTGATTGATTGAGGCTGTAGAATTTAAAAACACAAAACATGGGGGGGAAATATCATCTGTCCACGGTGAGAATGACAGATATTTTCACGTGGGATCATCCTAATCCATGTAAACTTTTGACATTCCCTTAAAATACGTCTTAAAAATTAACTGGAATGAACAGAAATTGCATTCTGGAGAAGAAAAAAAACACACTTGTGATTTTCTTTTTTTTTTTTTTTTACAATAATCAACTATGTTATATGTCCCCCCCCCACCCTTCCATATTTATTATTGTGATGTTGCCAAATTTTGTTAGGTGGCAGAGCTGTCGTCGTCGTTAACGCATTGCTGATAGGGAAAGGTATTTTATCTTCCAAATCAAGACAAGCAAAGAAGGGCCTGTTTTGTGGCCTCAATTTGGTGCTTCAGTACCGTCACTTCTGTTTTTCACATGAACAGTAACAAGATCAACTCCTACCCGAGAAAAATAGCAATGCACTGAACCAGCCCTTCCCAGGGAGGAGGGATGCAGCTGAGCACCCGCGAACCTTGCCTCCGCTCCGGGTGGCCTGAAGGCGGCATCCTCGTCCCAGCGGTCATCGGGGCTCTGATGTCACCGGGGTCAGAGGATCATGCTGTCATCTCCTCCTGCTCTCAGAGGGGCATCCCTGAATCTAGACACGTGCAGGCCAACTCCTTCCAAACTCAGCTGCTGCTCTACCAGTGTCAGGTACTGTCTACACCAGCAGATTCACATCTACCCTACCAGTAACTGACACGGTGTTGAAAGAAACTCCAGCCTACAAAACCTTTGCACTCCGTCGATGAGGTACGATTGAGGCCGATGTGGTGCTGAGCCCATTGTCCGCTCCGTCCTGGTGGAATCCTGCCTGCAAGTCGCTTACTGGGAATAAAGAAAAGTGTCCTTCTGTATGTTTTGATTTTTCGCAGAATAGGTTTGGGAGATCAATCGTTGACCATGCATGGATTCTATCCCCTGGTCCAAAGAGCTTACTTTTTCCATGCCCTTGCTGTTGTGATTGTTTGTTTGTTTGTTTTTTGCCCCAGTTTGAAGTCCTAATGTTGATATATGGTTTTTATGACTGAAAAATTAGTATCGTTGGGCTAAAAAATAATGGAAAGAAAGAAACAAATGCAGAAATAGACGGTCCATTGACTAGATACACAAAAGCCAGTCTATTTAGATGAGGTGAGTAGGTCCTTAGTTTCCTGACTCCCACAGGTGTCTGCCTGTGTACAAATGGAATATGTGACTTCCTACATGGTTATTGTGGTGTAATGTGCAAATCTTAGCATGTGCATCATCCTGATCCTTGGACACTACGCTATCTATCCTCATCAGGAGTAGAACTTGCACATGTGACATGCAATTTTTTTTTTTTAATCACAAAGGATGTATTTCCGTAAGTAGCACTTTCGGAGCAGGGGAAGGAGGGACGCGCCACTCCCCACCCCCCTCCTACATGATATGCATTTGCCTGAGGTGTACAAAGACGTTCAGGTCGTCAGTGGGCATGTTCATAAGAACGTTCGGATGCAAATTCATTTTCAAAATGAAAAGCATGTCCTTCCCTCCCCACCCCCAAGTGAGAAGAGCGGGGATGCTGGTGGTGAACCGAGCACCACGGTGACCAGACTTCCCTGCTAAGGTCGAGTGTGAGAAAGAAAACTTGAAAAGCCTATGAGGTTGAGCCTGGTTGCTATAAAGACTTTGCGGAGATGCGTGCTTCTAGGACAAGCTGTAGAAGGTTTAGTTGACTTCCAGACCTTGGGTAGTCTTTCTCTTCCAGAATAAACACAGACACAAGCGAGCTGCGGTGCAGGGCTTCACGAGGCAGTCGGGGGCAAGCACCCATCATGCACCGGTTTCCTTGACAGACACTCAGAATTTCAAAAGGGGGGTGTTCCCCTGGCCTGGGTTCCTCCTTGGTCTGGTCAAGTCCCACTGACAGAAGCTGCAGCCAGGTCAGGGTTGCGTCGTCTCTGGGGTCAAGGCCAAGCACCGTGCTGGCTGCCCGGTGGGCAGGAGCCCACGGAACATGCAGAGCCCAGAGCCACTGTCCATGTGAGTCCGGGCAGAGGAGCTCACCAGACTGTCAGGGGCCTGCGGAGCCAGAATGTCACCGAATAGAAGATCCGTGTTGTCTTCAGTCCTCACGCTCTGTCACTGTAGAGCGAACAAGACGCATTTTTACATAATTTAAAGGAGCTGCTTTTTTTAATAGCACATACTCTTTCGCTTTGTACTCTATTTGATAGTCGCAGGAGAATTTAGGCGGTAGGAAAACTTGGTTGTATTGTACTATTCATGAATGTTTCAAAGAAAGTGCTCTACTCGGCTGCCCTCATTGTTTTCTACTGCTGTATTTCTTCCCCTGCTTCATGGAAACCTAATCCGGTTCATATTTTTCACTGCAGTTTCTTTTTTTTTATATATGTGTTTGTGTGTATTTTTTTTCCTCTTCGGTCAGTATTCTGAATGTTTACATCTGTTTGACATTAGCCATTTAATGCCTTTTTTTTTTAAAGGTGGTATTACTCTTACAGTGTAACGGGAAAATGTGAAATCGCCCCAACACAACATGTATGACAAACAGATTGGGGGCTCAGGCCCTCGACATACATAGACGTTTTATCTCAGCATCCAGAGAGGGCACGCCCTCCTCGGTCCTCTACCAAAGAATATATCACTCCCGCGGGAACTCTCAGCAAAGGAGTGGGGAGTCCTCAGAAGGGGGCGCGGTGGGTTCAGCGAGGCGGCTGCGATTGGAAACCTGTGTGCTTGCTTGGATACCCGACGAAATCTGACTGAGTGCAACAAGCATTTAAACAACTTTTAGACGGCGTTTTGTTTGGAATTCAGGGATCACGCATTCTTTAATGGTGCTGTTTGTTTTTTTATTTCTTCTTTTCTACAAAGAAAAAAAGTGTTGCCTACAAAAGTGACTGCTCACAATACCATAAGTTAAACGAAATGTTTGTCTTTTCATGTTTCTCGATTTTTCCCTTTCTCAAAGTAACAAGTTGGGTTTCAATATTCAACTGTTCTGGCGAAAATAAAGAAATTCAACATTAAGTGGTTGTCATGTTTAATTCTTTTCTGA